TTTATCTCTAGAGTGCAGTAGGTGGAGATTTCACTTCAATGCTAAGACTTTGGCTCTCTTTTGCTAAGGTTGGTATAATTTTATTAGTGATCGGGTTGCTCCCAAAATATCTGTTGGGTTGTATTAACTGAAGAAGAAAAATAGTAAAGATTTTTTTTTGCTGTTTTCCTTGTTTTGTTACTTGATGTGCTCCGGTGGTGGTAAGTTCACTGAGGTGATACAAAGTACACAGTGGCTGTGACATGACCCACCCTCACTGCAGTTGAGGACGGTTGGGGGTGGGGGGTGGGGAGGGCTTGGCCAAGCCAAGGCAAATACAGAAGCCCAGAGCCCCAGTTCCATGATGTAAATCTTGTCCAGAATTTCAGCAAGCATTATTTTCTACATGAGGAAATGAAATGATGGAGTGTTTAAAATCTAGAAAAGCGCTGGGTAACTGGCATAACTTTTTTTTTTTTCCTCATTGGTGTGAAATGCTGGGTTGTTTCTACTGCAAGGTGAATCGGAAAGTCTTGGGAGGAATGTGGCTTCCCCCGCCGCTTGGAGGGGAGTGTATGGTTTGTTTGCCAAAGGCCCTGGTAGCCTTCAATCTGTCAAAACGTTGCAAGCTGGGAGCAGTTTGCCAAAGCAAACTATCAAAGTGAAATAACACACGAGTTGCACATACACAGACACACACATGCTCTCCCATTCCCCAAACATTAATTTCGAATTTGGTCAGGAGGAACAAGGATTTGGGTTAGACTGTCGGTGTTTTGAAGAGGTGTGGGCACAGCTACAGACTACCAATTAGATAGGTATGTGTGAGCAGGGTGCGGTATCCTAAAACAGAGTCTACTGAGCAGGGGTGGGAAACTTCAGCCCTTGGCAGAGTTTCATCTGGCCCCTGGGGTTATATATTGCTCTGGCTGCTGTTATTGCAGCCCGAAGAATAATTTCCCCTCTGGGGGAATTTATTCTATTCCATTCAGAGCAGAGCCCATTTAATAACTAAGATTTTATTCCAGAATGAATTTTATTGGGTACCCCTATGCGTTTTAGCTTCACCAGGGCCCAACTCGATGAAGAAAAGAATCATTTGAACATGTAAATATAACTCCTGTTGCATTTTTGCAACAAGAGGCACCAACAAACATTTTGCTGCCAGAGCTCATGTAAATCCTATGAGAACAAATTTTGGGGGAGTCACACAGAAACTGAAAAGCACAACTGATATTTATAAATCCCTTGTAAAAGAACTTTTCAAAGCTCCCAAAGTTACTTTGGACATTTTTGAATATGTTAATTCACACTATTTCCACTTATCTTGAAATTTCATAGGTCATAAGGTTATGAAGCATCATTCATTAATTCAGTGAATTAAGCTCTTACTATATAGCAGATACTCTGCTAGGGCTGGGGGGTAAAGTAGTGCCAAAACATGGTCTCATGGAGCTTATATCCTGGTGGACAGAGGGAGAAATTTAAATGAATAAGGACATAGCCTGTGAGACGGTGTGTGCTATGCAGAAAAAGAAATAGGCTGGGCTGGGAGAGGGAGCCCTGTTTATAGGGGTCAAGGAAGCCCTATGGAGAAGGGACAGCTTTGGGCAGACACCTAGAGGAGGTGAGGGAAAAAGCCGTAGACATACCTGGGAGTAGAGTTGACCAGGCGACCTGGAAGGCAGTTCCTCCCAGACGGTGGAAAACCTAGAATCTTCCCTCCTCCAATCTTCCACTCTCTCTCCTGCCCCAAGTCCCCGTGAATGTTATGGAAGTGCAACCTGGGATGAGTGGTTATGCAAAACTGTTCCTGATTGCCTTACAAATATGTGGCTTAGGTGTGTGCCAAGAACTTTGAGGAGCTGAGGTGTAACACATTTACGGAGCTGCTGCTTGTTTTCTTAACAAAACCACACCAATCTGGTTTTCTTTTTAAATGAGTAAACAGTGCCAGAATGTGTTACAAATGATCCAGATTTTTAGGCACAGGTTCATAACGTGCTTTCTCGCGCATTAATTCATTTGAGATAGGCAGGCCAGGTTATATTAATCCCATTTTACAGATGAGGAAACTGAGGCACAGAGGTGCCTAGGTCATATAACCAAGCCCAAGGTCATATAACCAAGGAGCATAGACTCCTAAGTTGTGATGCACATGTTCCTTGGTTTAGAGGAGAAACTGGATCCAGTAAGGATATAACTAGAAAATAACTATTCTTTTCCCACCACCGTGTTCACACCCACTCCTTTAGATGCCCTTGCCCCATCCCTGGAAGACTCTTGGACAGTTTTCTGGTCCATTGCAGGTTTAATTAGCAGTCTCGTTTTCAAATATCAAAAAGTCCAAAAAAAGGTATGTGTATGTCTAGGAGGGGATATCTTTATTGATTGAATGCCTGTCCTTTCAGTAAGCAGTTTTTGGTATTAACCTAAGACATCAGTAACTTCACCATCTAGACCTACATTCTTAGCTCCCTGTGTGCTGAGAAGCACAGATCTGTGTATCTGTGCATTGAGGAGTGCAGAAATAGAACATTTCCTTCATCACAGAAACTTCTATTGGACAGCACCAGCCTAGATCCTCAGCAAGTTATAAACCAGCTCTTTGATTCTTTTCACCACTTATTTCACATTATATTTTTCTGAATAGCTCTTTTCCTTGGAAGGATTTTGTGTATAGATATGGTACATTAAAAGAAAGTCTAGTCAGATATGAAAATTTCAGTCTCTCATCCAGCTTGAAGTCTTTTTCCTCCCCTGGACTGGGCCTGGTCTGGCCTCAGACCCCTGTGGTGGGGAAGAGAGGGCTTGGCTGGTTTCTTCACACTCCTAGTTCCCCTGCCTGCCCCATCCCTCTGCTCTTGTTAATTCCTCCAGGATGGAGCAGAGGAGAGGAGACATCACTGGGCAAAGAGGATCTCAATAGGATTGGTGCCCATTGTAATCTGGTGTTGCTGTCCTGGGGTTGGTGGATGTCTAAGTTCTGGATTCTCCTCTCTCATGGCACTGTGGTTGCTCCTTTGGAGGACCTCTGCCTCACTGGGGATCTCCTCTGCACATCCCCTTAGGACCCTCCCCCCAGCTCCTGTACTCCACAGGTACACATCACACATCACCTCTCTGTTCGGGTCACCTGACCCTGGTGAGCAATCTTCTTTGATGAGGTCCTCGCTAGACAAGCTAAGTCCAGCTTTCCACGGTGCCCACATATAACTCATGGGAAAACCCCAGCAGCTCCTGCCCGTGCAAGTCCCAGAAATACAGGCTACTCCCACTCCAGCCTTCTGTCTCCACTCTGCCCTCCCAGACACTCCAGCTGGGTTTTGGCCTTTAGATACTTCTCCGGGGAGAATCAAGCACCAGTCTTTATACCCCAAACACAGGAGGTCCAGATCAAGCTTTCTGAATGGTTGCCCTCCTTGCTTGGCTGGGGAGGGAGCTCCGACTTCTCCTTCTCAGAGGGGAGTGGAAGGGCTGTGCTCAGCGCTCCTGCATCCCTCTTCAAAGAAATCCACACCTAGCAAACTTCTCCCATTCTCCAGCTCACTCCCCATTGCTTGTATGGGCTGGAAGCAGGTGAAGGGCTACAGCTCAGGGTAGGGGAGAGAAGGGGGGGGATGCCTCCTTTTCCTTTTCTGGTCCTTACTAGCCAGTGCAGCTCTTCTCTTTGGAATGTGTGCATATGTGATAGATACCCTTGGTCCCCAGCTTTGGGGCCTCAGCTGCAACTCCAAGACAACAACAAAAAGGATTCCCTTGCATATCTTTTTGCCCTGCTTCTTGTCTCATCACACAGTCTCCAACCAGTCTTTCCACATCCATTCTGTGTGGTCTGCTAGGACCGGGCTCATTTTCCTACAAAATGGGGTTTAGGGTAGAATTTGGGATACTTAGAGATGGCAGGAGCCTTTTCTAACTCCACAAGCCCTAACCCCAGATCCAGACAGGTTTTCCTCATCTCCAGCTCCACTTGGTGAGTTTTTCTTGGACAGGGGCCGTGTTTCATATCTCCCAATTATGTTGGAGGCCTCAAAAGGTTGAGAACCACTGGGTTACTTAACTGCCCTCAAGGTTAAAACCTAAAAAGGATCCAAAAGACAACTAAGCAGAACCAGTGGCCTTTTTGCAGGGAGGCTTAAAACAATGCCGTCGCTGATTTGAAATCCAGGGACTTCAGGCATTTCAATTAATTGACAGTACTTGCCTCTTCTCTGACTAACTAACTGTGCTGGGTGTTTTCACCTCTGTCATCTTTAGTGATCCTTACAGAAGATGAGAACATCGAGGCTCAGAGACGTTAGCTTACCCAGGATCACCCAGATGGGAATGGCGGAGTTGGGATTCTAGCCTAGATGTGTTTGAATCCAAAACTTCACACTCTCCCAGCACACCCTGCTGTCTCGGGGCCAGCTGGCTCCTATTTCCACACCTTCCTTTTATTTGATGACAAGCCCTAATCAGGGCTGGTGACAGTGGGGCTTAACACAGCTAATCTCGCCCGAGGAGAACATATGTGACACTGAAGGGCCAAGGACAGGCAGAGGAAAGGGTCTGAGGAAAGCCTGGGGTGTAGGAGAGGGACTTCCCTGGCCCGGCTCAGAAGCCCCACTTGTAGCCTGACAAGAAGCGAGCACGCACTGGCACTCACCCTGTGTCAGGTGCGGTGCGTTATCTAATTCAGTCCTCCCCAAACCTCCGAGCCAGCTTCTGTTATCCCCATCTTACAAGGGAGGAGACTGAGGCTCACAGAGGTTGGATGTCCTGACCTAGAAACCCTGCTGGTAAGCAGTAAAGCTGGGTTTGATCCCAGATCTGCCCCATGCCATGGCCAGCCCACAGCACTGTGCTGCCTCCCCTCCCGTGGGGCCAGCCCTTTGCATCTTCCCTGGGTCACATCCCAGGGCCCGGATTGGACTGTTCTATCCCTTTCAATGATGAGATGGAGATGCTGCCTTCCGTTGGATGCTGCTGCCTGGAACATACTCACAGCCCTACCTCTTGCTATTTTTCCTTCTCAGTGTCCTGGGTTCCCTCCTGCTGCTTGGATTCCAGCTCGTCTGCCCACAGCCCTCCACTGAACACAGAAAGGTAAGCCATGGCCGTTCAGAGGCTTTCCTTTTTTGTACAAGGGGCTGGGGTCACTGCTGTTACCGCCCTGAGTTTTGTTAGATTTGGAGGTGAGTCACTGCTGATTCTGAGGGGAAGCACCATTTATAGAATGTTCTCTAGTCCTTCTATCCCTCCTAAGTCCTTGGAGCTCAAAAATGAAGCTGGTGCCCGGAGTCAGTCTCTGATCTGAGAGCAGTGCTAGCTTTGCAACCCGCGTTTGTTAGAGTGGGGCAGTTGTGGAGAGGTCAGTGAGAGGACTCTGCCCCCCGGAAGGGTAGGCAGAGGAGAGCACCAGCTCTCCTGGAACGGTAGAGAGCACCAGGAACGGTAGAGCACCAGCATGGAGCTTTTACCCCCTCTAGGGGCATCTTCAGAGGCAACGGGAGTGGATGACTAGAGAGAGAGCTATATGTAGCTAAACCTGTGGCTGTAGCTATGCAAGAGGATGCCCTAATAGGGAGCCAGGATCTTTGTTAGAAGGACACAGCCACTGCCGACCAGCAGCCAGGCAAGAGGGAGCAGGGAAATAAGGACCTGGCCCTGTCTTTCCTCCTCCCCTCCATCTCTTGCTGGTGGCTCTGTTTAGCTGAACCCAACCAAAGGCAGAAGACAAGAAGCCCTTGATGCAGTCCTCAAAGGCCAGCCTCCTGGGCAACAGGACTGGGAAGAAAAGGGTGGTCAGAGCATCTGGAGGGACAGATGGACAGTATCAAGCATGCTTCCCTTCAGACTGTGTTTCATAGTAAATGAAGTATCCACTGTTGCCTAAGGAAGCCTGCTGTTGTCCTGCAACAGAGCGGGTGCGTGGTAAGTGTTTCCTTAGAAACAGATGCATGATATGACTCTGAGAAGGTCCCTAAAATCACTTTCTGCTACCTACAAGCTCCTCGTGTCAATGTGTAATGAAATGCAGACCCTTCTGAGAGGAATACTAGGTCGGCCATTTGTATCTGAGTGTGATTGAGTTGGTTGGAACCTTTCCTGAGAGAGTTTTCACAGGGGACATCCAGGAGAGAAGGGAGCTGAGAAAAGAGAGTATGTGCACAGGTGTGCCTAGATATGACCTTCTTGGGAGCAGTTCTTGATGTTCTTGTCTGATTAGTCTAATTTCTCTTAGGTCTGTGGATTATGTCCTGGCTTTGTTTTTCTGGGCCAGGTATAAACCTGTATTGTATTGTATTCCCCACTAGGATGTCAGCTCCATGAAAGTGGAATCTTACCTGTCTTGTTCAGTGCCATATTCTCAGCTCCTGGAATACAGCCTGGCATGTTATAAGTGCTCAATAAACTACTTGTTGAATGACTAACTGACTGAATGAATGGAAAACCTGGCCAAGGTCTAAGCATCATTTTGTTGGAGTCACTTGGAAATTTACACCCCTCTCACTCCACTGCATCATCCCCACTCATAATTTCAAGAATCAGAAAGGACAACTACTATAGATTGAATGTTTGTGTCCCCCCCAAATTCATATGTTGAAACCTAATCCCCAGTGTGATGGTATTTGGAGGTGAGGCCTTTGGGAGGTGATTAGGTCATGGGAGTGGAGCCCTCATGAATGGGATTAGCCCCTCGTTAGAGTCACGAGAGAGCTTGCTGCTCTGCCATGTGATGATACGAGAAGTCTGCAACCCAGAAGAAGGCACCATACTGGCTTCCTGATCTCAGACTTCTAGCCTCCAGAAGTGTGAGAAATAAATTTCTGTTGTTTATAAGCCACATAGTCTGTGGTACTTTGTTTTAGCAGCCCAAACTGACTAAGACAAAAATTGGCACTGAGAAGTGGGGGTGCTGCTGTAACAAATACCTAAAAATGTGGAAGTGGCTTTGGAACTGGGTAATGGGTACAGGCTGGAAGAGATTTGAGGTGCATGCTAGAAAAAGCCTACATTGCCATAAATGGACTTTTAAAGGCGATTCTGGTGAGGGCTCAGAAAGAAAAGAGGAGGGCTGTAGAGAAAGTCTGTGTTCTTCGAGAACACCTAAGTAATCCTGAACAGAACGTTGGTGGAAATATGGATGTTAAAGGCCATTCTTTTGGGGTCTCAGATGGAAATGAGGAATATGTTATTAGAAACAGGAGGAAAGGCCATGCTTGTTATAAAGTGCCAAAGAACTTGGCTGAATTGTGTTCATGTTCTAGTGTTTTGTGGAAGGTAGAACTTGTAACCAATGAAATTAGATATTTAGCTGAAGCAATTTCTAAGCAAAATGTTGAAGGAGTGGCCTGGTTTCTCTTGACTGCTTGTAGTAAAATGTGAGAAGAGAGAAATGACTTAAAGATTTGGAAAATTCTCAGCGTATCCATACAGAAAAGGATGAAAAAGCCTGTTCTGGGAAGAACATTAAGGGTGTGGCTGAGAGACCATTTGATAAGGAGATTAATCAGCCATTTTGACAGAAGCCAGGAGCTATTGTCCAAGAAAATGGAAGGATGCAAAGGAGGGGCTGTTGGTGCCTTCTGACCTTGGCTCACCTCTGGCATCAGCTCACTTGGTGGTCTGCACTCCCTGCACTCTGGTGCTGAGCTCCTTGGCTGTCCCAGGTGCTGCCCCCTCTGGCCCAGGGAGGCATGGGCTTGCCCAGCAGAGCTGTGGGGGCATGGCTGCCTCCACCTAAATTTCAAAGGACAAGGCCTCCCAGCAGGGCGGTGGTCCTGGGACCCCAACCCAGAAAACTGCAGTGGGGACAGGGCTGTCTAAAGCTGTGGGGGTAGGGCAGCCTGGAGCCTTGGGACCCCAATCATTGCCCAGAAAAGCTGTGGGCAGGAGGGCAGAACATTCAGTCAAAGAGGATTATCCTTGAGCTGTCAGGTCTAATGGAATTTGGCCCGTTGGGTTTTGGACCTGCTCGGGACTGGTCTTCTTCTTTCCTCTTTCTCCCATTTGGAATGGAAATGCTGTCTTGTGCCTGTCTCACCATTGTATTCTGGAAGCACATAACATGTTTGATTTCACGGGTTCACAGCTGGAGAGCAATTTGCATCAGTATGAATCAGTCTCACCCATATCTGATGTAAATGATGGTTAGATGAGTCTTTGGACATAGACTTTAAAGTTGATGATGGAATCAGTTGAGACTTTTGGGGCTATTGGGATGGAATGAATGTATTTTGCATGCAAGAAGGATGTCAATTTGGTGGGGCCAGAGGTGGAATGCTATAGACAGAATCTGTCCTCTCAAGTTCATGTGTTGAAATTGAATCCCCAGTGTGATGGTATTTGGAGATGGGGCTTTTGGGAGGTGATTAGGTCATGAGGGGATTAGTGCCCTTATAAAAGAGATCCCAGAGAGATCTCTTGCCCCCTCTGCTGTGTGAAGACACAGCGAGAATACTATTGTCTGTGAACCAAGAAATGGGCTCTCCCCAGACACCAAATCTGCCAGCCCCTTAATCTCAGACATCCCAGCCTCCAGAACTGTAAAAAATAAATTTATGTTGTTCATAAGCCACCCAGTCTGTGGTATTTTTGCTATAGCAGCCGGAATGGACTAAGACAACTGTCTATTTTTATTAAGTTATATTATTTATTACTGTTTGGAATTATTGGAGTTGTTAATCCTAATAATTGAATAAATCTACCTGTGTTCTTTCTGTTGTTGTTGCTCAAGTAGACTATCATAGCTGAAAATACTTTGTAAATGATCAATTTACTTTGCTCTCTCTCTTAATTTTTCAAATTAGCCTGAATGATATATATATAGCCTGAACAAAAGGTTCACAAATAAATATTACCCTCATCTTTCTTAAAGTATTTGTTCTGAGAAATGAAAAAAAATAGTTTATGAGTTACTTAGGATATTGAATTTAAAAATTGAGCAAAAAGTATCACACCTTGGTATATTATACCTTTTTATCAAAATATTATCAAGAACTTTGCAGTAGAAAGATAGGTTAAAAAAATTTTTTTTTTTCAAAATCATTTATAGATTCTTTTACTTGGAGAACATACATTTTAGGACTATTCTCAAATTTAATTCTATGCATTTTGACTGCCAGGGTCATTGTCATTGACCCCAGAGAAGAAAGGATTCAGTGCTTCCTTGGGTGGTGGATTTCTTCCTGATGTTTTATCGGAGCTTTGTGGAGCAGTGGCTGTCATCCTGCCTGGTTGTATCCTCAAAATTCTGGCAGCAGAAGCAGTACTGGCAGGAGTAGCATCCATTTATTTCTGCGTAAGAAATAAGGAGATACTTATTAAAAAGGGGTCAAAAATTTTTTTCTATAAAGGGCTAGTTGTGAATATTTCAGGCTTTCTGGGCTACAAAGTCTCTGTCACAACTACTCAACTCTGCTTTTGTAGGTCAAGTAGACAATACATAAATGAATATGCACGGCTGTGTTCCAGTAAAACTTTATTTACCAAAATAGGTGGTGGGCTGGATTTGGCCCATGGACCAGTTTGCCAACCACTCCTCTGAAGTCAAGATAGAGAGAAGTTAACTGCACGTATACGTGTTTTGGAATTTGAAGTTGAAAATTGTCTCCTCCTGGGACTTTAAGGAACACAGAGGATTTGAGAGAAAAAAAATATTTTTTTTCATTAAAACATAAGAATTATGATTGCTATGAAATTGTTTTCATTACTTAGATAAATCGTAATTAAATTCCTGCTGACCCATTGTTTTGTGGCAAAATCCACTCCCAATCTGTAGCGGAGAGCTGCAGAAAGAATGAGAAGACCATTTGTGGTAAATTCTTAAGGGACAGCGTTACTAATTTGTGCGTATTGTAGTTTAGTATGTATATGAAAACTACCCACTAAAAGACATCTCTTTTTCTTTCTCGTTACAATAGCATGTCCAACTTTAGCATATGGAAGCATTTCTACAGTCTAAGTTATACTGAGGAAAAGACATAATTTGTAAATGCTGTCAAGTAAACTATGCATTTCTAAATGCTGTTCGGGTGACTGGATACATCTCTGTAAAAACTGTCCCATAATGGTGTAGGAAAAGAGGACTCTGGTGCAGTGTA